TGATTAGATGGTCGATCTGATTACTATCCCTACCATTTGGTGAGAGCCATGTTAACTTGTGAATTTCACAGTGAGGAAAGAGCAAACCTCCGATGACAAGATTATTTAAAGTACAGAATTCCACTGACCTCTCTCCATTCTCGTTCATGGTACCACATCCCTGTTTCCCCATAGTTCTATCATTATGCTTATTATCCCTCCCAACTTTAGCGTTCAAGTCCCCCGTGACTATTATAAGATCATGACATAATGCTGTTTTTATTTCAGCTTGAAGCTGTTCATAGAATCTATCTTTCTTTCCTTCTTCACTTACATTTGTTGGGGCATAACACTAGATTAATATAATGTCTACATGTCTACCTTTCATCCAAATTCTCATCAGTCTTCTGCTGATTGGTTTTCATTCCAGCAAACATTTCTCTATTCCTTTCTTCAGGATGATAGCTACTCCCTCATAGGGTTGGTCATCATCCCTTCCAGAAAAAATGACTGTTTCACCAGTATTAGTCTTCATTCTTCCTGATCCAATCCATCTACTCTCACTGATACCAAGAATATGTAGTTTGTAGAGTCTCATTTCATTTGTAATCTGCGCTAGTTTACCCATTTCATACATGGTACATTCCAGAACCCAATTCTGGTCTTAATCTTGGTGCTCAGGACTTCCATCTTCAGGTCAATAGCTTCATTTCTGCTTTCATCAATGGCAGTCATACACAACACTGTAAGGGTATGTCTACACTACCCTCCTAGTTCGAACTAGCAGGGTAATGTAGGCATACCGCACTTGCAAATGAAGCCCGGGATTTGAATTTCCCGGGCTTCATTTGCATAAGCGGGGAGCCGCCAGAGCGTTCTTCCTGAAAAAATTAGGAAGAACAGCTCTTGCGCAAGAGGGGGTTTTTGCAGAAAAAGGAGCTGTCTACACGGCTCCTTTTGGCACAAAAGGCTCTTGTACCAAAAACAGCTGCTAATAAATTATGCAAATGAAGCACAGCGATATTCTACTCTGTGCTTCATTTGCATAAGCTTTTTGGAAGAAGGCTGCAGTATAGACATAATCTTACTGTTTAATTACTTGAGTTATGCATTTTATTTGAGCCTCTGGTATGGTGTTTTTACATATAGTTCCTCTCCCCCACCAGTGAAAGCTACTCCGGCACTCTTAGGGTATGTCTACACTACCCCGCTAGTTCGAACTAGCGGGGTAGTGTAGACATACCCCAAGTGACTCTGGAAGGCCATCACACACAGTTGATATGGAATTCTTTGTTGCTGTTCCATAACAAAAGCTTCTTCTAGGTCAGGGTTGTTAGCCCTGAACTAAACCCCCAATCCTGGAGGACCGGTGTGCATGCTTTGTCTGGCTCCTCTCCCCTTGACCTATCCGGCTTGGTTGAACCTATCAGAAGCACTAAGCTCCCGCCAGCATAGCTCCTGGAATCATAAGAACACACAAGCTGCCCCACCCTGACAAGGCGCATGCACATGGGGCAGATGCATAAAAACATGCACTCATTGAAAAGAAGAACTATGCTGTAATAACATCCTGGCAATTAGAATTGGCCAAGACATTTTTTGACAAAACATATTTTTTGACAAAAATGCTGATTCATCGAAACAGAAAAGCGAATTTTGCAAAAATGTAGAAAAAAGTGTCATAATTGTTTTGTTTCAACATTTCTGAAATGAAACACTCCAAGTTTCCAATTCAAAACAATTTTGTGTTTCAGCATAAGAACTAATCAGACTTTATAGTTAAAGAATAAAGTTGGAAATAAAAATTAAATGTTTCTACATTTTCAAAATAAAACATTTTGATTGACCTAAACTGAAAAAAAAAAAGTTTTTTCAGTTTAAAAAAAAAAATCTAGATTTTGACTTTTAACTGGATTTCAAATGGGAAAAAATGTCAAACTCTCAAAAATATTCAGGGAATGAGAAATCTGCTTCCCATATGGCTCTACTGGCTATCTGGGTCTCCACCGTTGTCATCATGCCATATACCATTGATGATTCACATTTTCATGGCAATTTTTGGGAAAGAGATGAATTCCTCTGCTCAAAATGCATGTGTCTGCTACATGAACCAAGGAAGAGTTTCCATTAGCCACTTCTAGGATAAGGTTTAATATACAAACTGGCTTGATTTCATAAACTCCAAAAATGTATGGCAAGAAACTAGAGCTATTCTATAAATATTACAAAGATAAATTTAATAATAAATGGCTAAATGTGATTTATTTGTACAGTAGTGTTGAGCAAGAACATGTGATGGGAAAGGCTGCTGTTAGATTTGTCTTGCCAATCAAGATGAACCTAAGCTATAATATTTGGGTCTAAAAATGAACTTTCCCAGAGTTTGGGATGGTTTCAGTCCAGGGCATGGGAAAAGGAAGGAGGACATTTGGTTTTAAATGAACATGAACATCAGCTGTGTAAAGAGTCTAGCATGTGGGAAGTTAATAGTCTTGGTTCTCCTCTTATGCCTGCTGCTGCAAATCAATGAAGGGAGAGGTGCTACAGAGGTGAGTTAAGGATCCAGTTCACCAGATACTGAATGAATGTATAGTTTTGCTACCCTTTGCTATTAATGTGTGACATGACTCTCTTAGTAAAGTCCACTGCAGCCAACCCACTTGCATCACGGAGGGAACAGTACTTTATTGCTAAAGACCGTGAACCTGCCCTTTCATTGCCCTTTCTGTACACTTTCTGAAATTACACTTTCTGTAATTTCTTACACCAGGACAAGGCACTTTGGGTCTCATTTGGAAGCATATCACACTGATAGTGCTCATTTTGTCCCATGTAACTGACTTCCCACAACCGGGCTATTGCAGCAGTTGTGGGGTCGCCATGGTTGGGTCACAGGGTCTGCCCCAGGATCACGGTGGCTGGGGAGAGACCACGACTGTCAGATGGGGGCAGTATCTGCCACCACCAGCCCCTCTTACTATCCCAGTTTGGAGTGAGCACACATCCCCTACAGCATGCCCTCAGCTGGCCCTTTAAATGAGCAGAGTCCCACAGCTGGCTTTTGCCAAAGTACACCTGGTTCTCCTTCAAGAGACGTCCCTGGGGATGCTCCATATCAGGTGTAGAGCATCCGAGCAACTCTGGACGGAGTTTTGCTAGTAGTGCCTCGGCGGGGGTCATGCATGAGCGGCGCACCACACGTGCGAACTCCCTGACTAGCTATGCGCATGCGTGACCCCCCACATCCCTTCAGTTCCTTTCTACAGTACCCAGCTGCGGACGGAACGCGGCAGTGCTCTCTCTCGCTTAGCTTAGTTAGTTAGTTCTCAGTTTCTAGTTTAGTGTTTAGTCTTTGTTGTTCAACGTTGGCTTAGTTGTTACTGGTACTTTAAAAAAAAAAAGTGGTGCTGGGTTTGAACCGCCACTTCAGCACTCAAGCCAGTATGAGTTCTCCCAGCTTAAAATGCTGTGCGCTCTGTAGTGGTGTGATGGCCACCTCCGACAGGCATGAGTCCTGCCTCTAATGCTTGGGGAGCTCTCATTCACGCAGAGATTGCCCCCACTATGCTAAAATGAGACCTAGGTCTCTCAGAGATAAGGAGCTTAAAGTGAAATCACTCCATATTGACAACAACAAAAGATAGGCCTCTGACCTGGGCAGGGCTCATCATCTAATAAGGAAATCTCTAAGCCTTCTAAAGGAAGGGCAAGTTCTTTACCTCAGGGCAAGAGCTGCCTCAGCACATTCAACCACACAGGTACTTCGGGCAAACAGCGTAGTAAGCCTGAAAGTGCTTCAAACACTGCACCGATAGAGGCAAAGCACCACTCTGTGCCAGCCTCAGTAAACCTGGTAATGCTGACCCCTATGACAGCTACACCGGTACCTCAGCCATTCACGATGGCACCCAGTGAGGGGATAGAACACTCTCTGAATGTTGCCCCCTTTTCTCAACAGTTAGGGACTACAACTCTTCCTCTCACCTCTGAGAAGAAGCTCCTCTCAGTTAGCGCAGCCCTCCATGTCGCAAACTCCCCTGGTCACTTACAGGGAGGGTAAAGACTTGTACATTAATTCAACCCTTCACTCTCCTATATTGAGTGAAGAGAGATATATTCAGTCGCTACTCTCTGATGACTCAGATCCACAATCCCTCCTCTCAAAGAAGAGGAGGAGGAAAGTGAAATGTTCTCACCAGAGCCCCCCCTTAACCTCAAGGGGCACTGGGGACTCACAGGTACATGCCACCAGACGTCCTCACAGCACAGATGGCCCTGTGGGCTCCATATCTTTGGATGGCCCCTCCAGTAGCAAATGTGAAACCAGCATCCACATCAGCACAAAAAGAGATTGTGTAAAAGAAACACATAGAGAAGCCGCTCTCGTGCTTCACTGAATCTCCTCACAGAGACATTAGGAGTGATAATGGCAGCCAGTACTCCCCCAGATTAGCCACAGGGTCTCTGGCTCAAAGGTCATCATTAGCAGATATGGGAGAAGTGATGCTACCTCGCACTGTGAATACTTCAGAGGACATAACCTCTTTCCAAGATTTATTTAAACGTGTAGTGCAAGACCTGAACATCCCAGTGGAGGAGGTACGAGACACTCTTCACAACCTCACTAACATCCTACAGTCCAGCTCATTTTCAAAAACTGTTCTCCCTATCAATCCAGCTATTCTCCAACCTGCAAAAGCTTTATGGCAGACACCTGCCTCGATTCTCTCTACTAGTAGAAAGGCGGATTGAAAATACTTTGTGCCACCCAAAGACTCTGAGTTTCTCTTCACACATCCTGCCCCTGGCTCTCTGGTGGTGGACGCTGCACAACAGAGAAACAAGCAACAAAATTGCTCAACCCCATCCAGTAAGGAGAACAAAAGGCTAGATGACTTTGGCAAGAGAGTGTATGCATCTGCTACACTCCAACTGAGGGTGGCAAACTATTCAGCCCTTCTCAATAAATACGACTACAACAATTATATAAAAATGAACTTATTTATTGATGATTTGCCAGACAGTAAAAAAGGGCACTTTGAGGCCATTGTCTCTGAGGGCCGGGCAATTTCATGGACAGCGCTCCAGGTGGCACTTGATGCAGCGGACAGAGCCACTAGAGCATTGGCTACAGAAGTTACTATGCGCAAGGCCGCTTGCTACAACTCCTCGGCCTTCCCGACGCAACTTCAGACAGCTGTAGAAGATCTGCCCTTTGAGGGTAACAGTTTCTTCTCCTCGAAGATCAATGCGTTTTTTCAGTCCATGAAAGACTCCAGGGCCATCTTTCAATCCTTGGGTATTCAGGCCCCTACAACAAGATCCAGACAATATATATATTAGTTGTACCACAGGCCAAGATACCAGCAGCCCCCCTTCCAGTACGGCAGACAGGAACAACCCCCTTACCAACAGCAGGGTCAGAACAAGCAGCAGAGGTGGCAGTCTCAAACCAACACCCCCAACTGCCAGGGGCAATCCAATAAGCAAATTTGAGAATATAGTCAAAAGATCGAAAACCAGATCACCATTTCCAGCAAATCAAAACCCTTACAATCTCTTCCAGTTTCATTTACTCCCCTTCCTCCACCAATGAGAATTTATTTCCTCAGATAAATGGATACTTCAAACTATAACCCAGGGATACACCATCCTCTTTCTTTCCCTTCTCCCCTCCCAGCCTCCAACCCCGTTCCTCTTTAGGGACCCATCTCACGAGATCATCTTACAACAAGAGATAGATCACCTGCTACATATAGGATCTATAGAACCTGTCCCATCTTAATTCCACAGAACAGGGTTCTCGTCTCACTATTTTCTAATCCAAAAGAAGTCTGGTGGGTGGAGACCTATCCTGGACCTCAGATACCTAAATAGCTTCCTAAAGAAACAAAGGTTTAAAATGGTTACTCTAAATACAATCATCCCAGCTCTGGAGCCAGGTGATTGGTTTTCCTCTCTCGACTTGCAAGATGCCTATTTTCATGTTCCTATCAGACCTTCTTATAGATGTTTTCTCCATTTTACTTTAGGTGCACACCATTTTCAGTACACGGTCGTCTCCTTCAGACTTTCTACAGCTCTGAGAGTTTTTTCCAAGACCCTAGTGGCAGTCACTGCTCACCTAAGGAGACAAGGGATCACTATATATCCCTACCTGAATGACTGCCTAGTAAAAGCAAGGTCCAGACAGGAGTGCCACCGGCATACTCACATGGTGCTAGACTGCCTCCACTCTTTAGAGCTCCTAGTGAACCACCCCAAATCAATGCTTTCTCTCTCGCAGACCATCCAATTTATTGGGGCAAACCTCAATTCTATCACAGCCAGAACTTCCCTTCCTACCGACAGAGCTACTCACATCAAGCACCTGGCATTATCCCTCCAGGACATATGTACAGTCACCACTCTCGACTGCCTCCAACTGTTAGGCCATATAGCTTCCTGGAACCCTGTGGCTCCCAATGCAAGGCTATTTATGAGGTGTCTCCAAGGCTGGCTCCTAATGTAGTACAGACCAAACATTCATTCACTGACAAAGAGGCTAACTATGCCTCCATCAGTCAAAGCATCACTGAAATGGTGGACAGAGGTGTTTAATCTAACTACAGGCACACCCTTCCAATCCATAGAGCCCTCAGTGATCATCACCACAGACGCCTCACTCACAGGCTGGGGCACTCACATAGAAGGGAGAACAGTTTAAGGACTGTGGTCTCCCACGGAACGTGGCCTTCACATAAGTATCTTAGAACTCAGGGCCATTTGCCTAGCGTGTCAAAAGCTGCTCCTTCAGGCAATGGGAATACATGTCCGTGTCTTCATGGACAACACGGCGTGCATGTTTGATGTAAACCAACAAGGCGGGGCATGGTCACAGCCCCTGTGCAGAGAAGCCATAGCCCTTTGGAACTGGGCAATAGAACAGGATATCCAGTTATCTGCATGCCATATACCTGGGGCTCTCAACACAACAGCAGACGTGCTAAGCAGGGCCCTTCCCCAGGAGTATGAATGGGAGATGGACCATACAATCTTGCGAGAAATATTCAACCAATGGGGCCACCCTTGCATAGACCTGTTTGCCACTAGATCCAACAGAAAATGTAAGATGCATTGCTCCAGAGCAGGCAAACACTCCCTAGGAGACACTCTGACTCTCTCATGGAATGCACCCCTACTATACTCATTCCATCCCCTCCTGAACAGGGTCATCATAAAGATAAGGAGGGACAAAGCGAAAATCATCCTCATAGCCCCATGCTGGCCATGACAGCCTTGGTTCCCTCTGTTACTCAGGGATGACACAATGCCACCCAATCACATTACCACAAGTTCCTTACCTCCTTTATCACCTGCAAATCAGCATGGCTCACCCTCAACTCGCGATGCTCCATCTAAAAGCGTGGCACCTTAATGGTTCACTGGCATAGAGCTCCAGTGCTCCCAACAAGTCCACAAAGCTCTTCTGCACAGCAGAGCTCCTGCAACAAGAAAAAACATATATCAGCAAATGGACATGATTTACACACTGGGCCTGCGAGCTCAATATATCATCGCAAACAGCCCCACTCACGACAATATTGAAATACTTACTACATCTGAAGCTGTCTCATCTCTCATTAGCCTTAGTCAGAATGCACTTAGCAGCTATAACAACATTCCACGTACCACTGGATGACACCACTTTGTTTGCACACCCCACGACGAAAAGGTTTCTGAAGGACCTGCAAGCTCTTTACCCTGACATGTCACCCCCACAAGAACCATTGGACCTCCACCTGGTTCTGGCAACCTTAACAAAACCACCCTTTGAACCTATGGCCACATGCTCCTTATTCCACTTAATGCTTAAAACAGTGTTCCTAGTGGTTATCACATCGGCGCACAGAGTAAGCGAACTGGCCGCTCTCATGTCAGGTCCACCATTTACTATTTTTCTCAAAGATAGTGTGTCCATGTGGCCACACCCAAAATTTTTTAGCTAAGGTCCGCACGGCCTTTCACATAAATCAAACAATACATCTGCCTGTGTTTTCCCCAAAGCCCCATTCCAACGCCTTTGAAGCACAGATGCACATGCTCAACATCAAAAGAGCTCTTTCCTTCTACATTGACAGAATGAAGTCATTCAGGTCCTCTCCTCACCTGTTTGTTTCCATTGCTAACCATAACATGGGAGAGAAAATATCCCATTAGAAATCAGTGTGTGTTAATAGCTGCTACTCACTTAATGACTTACCTCCGCCTGCTCCAATCCAAGCACACTCTACCAGGGCAGTTGCAACCTCTATTGCATACCTCAGGAAAGTTTCACTGGAGGATATCTGTGCAGCAGCAACGTGGTCCATGGATCACACTTTCGCGAAACACTACTCGTTCGCCTTGGGTCTTTTATGCCACACTAAGTTAGCTAAGGCTGTCTTGCAGACAGCATACTCACTGGATCCGAAGTCCCTACCTCTATAAGATAGACTGCTTGTAGTCACCTGATGTGGAGCACCCCCAGGGACATCTCTTGAAGGAGAAGAGGGGGTTCTTCGAGATGAGCATCCCTGGGGGTGCTCCACTACCCTCCCTTCCTTCCCTTTACTTCGGAAACCTTAAAAAAAAGCAAATAAACAAAATAAAATATAACAGCAATCATGTTAATCACACTCCTCCACCGGGTTCTGGATAGAGAAGGAACTGAAGGGAGGCGGGGGGACTGCGCATGCGCATAGCTAGTCAGGGAGTTTGTGTGCATCGCGTGCCGTGCATGCGCGGCCTCTGCTGAAGCACTGCTAGCAAAACTCCATCCAGAGATGCTGAGATGATCTACACCTGATATGGAGTATCCCTACGGACGCTCATCTCTAAGAACATCAGTTACAGGAGGTGAGTAATCTCCTCTTTTTACCAGGGCGCACTGCCTCACTTTCACCTCTGGTTAAATGTGAAATAGACAAAAACAGTCCATCCAGACATGAGTAATTATGCATTTTTAAAATTTTGAATTAATTTTTCATTTTAATTTAAAAGTTGGGTGTATTTTGGAATGACAAAAAGCCATATTTGGCTCCAGAGCCATAGGTTGCTGACCCTTGCCCTTGCCCATCCCTACTAGGTAGCATGTGAACCAGCTACTCCATCTGTTTGAGTGAGGAGACCCTGATGCTAGTGTTAACCCTAGCAGGAGGAGAGAGGGATAGAATTAAGCAGAGGAAAGGCCAGAGAACCTGGCCAGTAATGTTAAATGAAATGACAGTTTCAAATAGATCAGGCCCTGAGTATGAAAACCTCCAAATAGTTTCCACTCATATGCTTACCTCTCAGGAATTTAGGAATTCAGTCTGTAGAATTGACTGATTGCTGTGTGACAACCCCCTTACAGAACCTTTCTTGGCACTTCTCTTTTGATAGCTGGCCTTTTAAATCAGATATAATGGGCTTGTTTTACACCTGACTGCTGCAGGATGCCTCTTTTGGTCTTGTTTTTGGCATGTATTTTAGCTCCCATTATTTATGCTTCTGATTGTCCCTGTCTCTCATCCCTTGGATAGCACAGCCTTGGAGAGGTGCTGAAAAGGAAACACGGGAAGGAGGTGCTGAAGAGTATTTAATTCTCCTGATTCTCCTCTGGCTCCACGGAAAGCTACAGTAGCACAAACCAATGTGTGCTCAGAAGCAAGCCTTGTGGAGTTATTCTGGTATAGTGCTGCTGTCAGTGGAAGAAGAAAAGGACTCTGTGATCCCCAGCTGGTGCAAAATGGCGTAACTCCACTCACTTGGAGTCAGCTAACAGATGGCCCTATATTTGCAGTGGCTGGATTTATGTTCAATTTGAAGAATTAATTTCCTAGTGTGATATTTACAAATAAATGAGGACTGATAAACTAGGGTAACCTTAATTAAGTTACCCCTTATCTATTGCAAGTGGAAGATTTTGAGGAGTTTTTTTAACTGTTATGATCTTTTGCAGTTGTCCTGTAAGTGTTACATAACCTTGTGGTGCCCAGTATAAGATGATGGTTTTGTAGTCTGATGGAGGAGAAGGGTGAATCTCATCCTCCCCTTCCAGAAATATCTAAGAGTGGGGTTGGGTTTTGGACTGATGATTAGGGTACAGTTAGCTCTGAGGAGGAGAAAAGGGTCTGGCAAAACCCCAGATCCTAGCACCCCCATGAATTTTGGACCTAGTGTTAGACATGACTGTCATGGATGGAATAGTTGATTGGAGCTCTGTAGTTACGGATCCTTCAGGCAGGTATCTGTCACTTTCCCAACCCACACTCAAACTTCTCTAAAACTCCCCCACTCTCTTATTTTGGAGGCATGAGTAGCTTCTACAAAGTTGTGAACTGTGTCATGGAGGACTTGCTGCAATGCCTGCATAGACTCCCATTCATCCTGCTTAGCCTTATCCTGATGTTGTGGAAATTCATTGTATATGGGATCCTTCCATACTAAGGGTACGTCTAGACTACATTCCACATTCGAAAGAGGAATGCAAATGAGGGAAATCGAAAATGCAAATGAAGTGCTGATTTACAAATCTCACTCTTCACCTGAATAATCTCATCCGATCACTTTTTTGGAAGAGATTTTTTTTAGAAAAAAACAAAAAAAAAACCATCTAGACGGGGTTCTTTTGAAAAAAACACCCTTTTACAAAAGAACTCTTATTCCTGAACAAATGAGGTTTACAGGGTTCTTTTGAAAAAGGGTGGGTTTTATCGAGAAAACCCCGTCTAAACTGCTTTTTTTTATGAGATTTGTAAATCAGCGCTTCACTGCATTTTTTATTTCCCTCATTTGCATTCCTCTTTCAGACGAGGAAAGTAGTCTAGATGCACCCAAAGGGTGGGAGGAAGATATTTTTGTGATCAATGGCTATTTCTGTGGGATGGAAATGAATCTAGTGTGATTGATCCATAAATCCTCTGTACTGAATTCTGCCCCTTCATGCAGACTAGTCGTTTCTATTTACTTTTTAATAGGAATCCCTTTTGTACATCCAAAATCAGAATTTGCAGATTCAGCTAACTAAAGGCAAAAGCAAAACAAACTTTGTTTAAAATAATGATAATGCAAGTTGATTTCTAAGTAAAAGTTACCTAGTACCATAACTTCAAGCCTAAACAAGTCTGAACCAAGGAGTATTTTGTCCCAAGGCAAATATGAGAAGCTGATACTTATTTTCCATGGGAAATTAATTTTTCCGGAGAACAGCTTCAGCTTGGCTACTTTGTATAATGCTTCTATGACAAGCTGCTCTTTTAGCAGCACTGACAGATCTCCAGAAATATTTACTTTTTCAGCTAAATCCTGACCTGGTGACAGGTACATAATGGAATGAAAGCAGAATGAAGAGAAGCATGAAAGAAAGTACAGAAGGGAAGAGAAGACGCCTGTTAGGAGCCTAACCACAAGAGGCACTGTTTGCTGTGAGATTTGAGTTTCCTCTCGCTCATGGTGCACTAAGTTTTGGCTTAGGTCTTAACTGGAAGACACACTTTTTGAAAGCTTTGTTATCACTCTTTAAAAATGAGGAGCAAACAAAGAAGGAAATACAAATGTTAAATGACCATTTATTGTCCATTCCCTTAATCCACAGCACCCTTATTTTTGGAATATGTGAATACATAAACCTACAGACTCCTCAAGGCCTAATTTTTCAAGATGTGTGAAGGAAATTAGAAAACTAACAATGAAGAGTGTGATGGGCAGTCAGTTGTGGGCAGTGCCTAACACAGCTGGGCTCTAATCTGGTTTGGGACTTTATTGTACTGTAATGAGATCCCTCTCCATCACCCTGTATATAGGTAGTGTCTAACCCCATATCCACTGAAGTCAGAGTCTTGCTTTCTATTGATTGTAGTGAGTGTTGGATCAAACGGTTTTGGTTGAAATCTAGGCCACACTGAAAACAACCAGAGTTCAACCATTGATTTAGCATTATAGATTGTTATAATAAGCCATAAACTCAGGCTGTGTCTGCACTACAAAGAAGAGTCGGAAAAAGATACGCATTTGAGAACTGCAATTTACATATATTTTTCTGCTTCTCTTTCAGAAGAGGCTTTTCTGAAATTTGGCGTGTCTACACAGCACCAAATTTCAGAAAAACCTCTTTCAGCACATCTCTTCTTCCTTGTACAATGAGGTTTACAGGGATGGCGAAAGAGCGCATCCACTTTTCCAAAAATGTTTTTGGAAAAGTAGACTTGTTCCTTGGACATAGCATAGCTTTTCCAGGTATCCCAGAAAAGAACTGCAGTGTAGATGTAGCCTCAATGACTTTATGAAGACCATGATTTTAGTGTCCAGCAAAATTGTGAATTTTAGCTCCCAGGCTTGTCTTTTGAAGGTAATGTACAGGGTCCTTTTGAGGATGAGGACTAAGGGTATGTCTACACTAGCTCGTTAGTTCGAGCTAGGTAGGCAAATGAGGGCAACCGGAGTTACAAACGAAGCTCAGGATTTAAATATCCCGGCTTCATTTGCATGTTCCCGGGCGCCGCCCTTTTTAAATCCCCCTTAGTCTGAACTCCGTGCCCGCGGCTACACAGAGCAGGGAGTTCAAATTAGAAATCCTAATTCGAACTACTGTTACTCCTCATTCCACAGAGGGGGCTGGAGCACATGACTTATGAGGAGAGGCTGAGGGAGTTGGGTCTGTTTAGTCTGCAGAAGCGAAGAGTGAGGGGGGATAGCAGCCTTCGACTTCCTGAAGGGAGGTTCCAAAGAGGATGGAGAGAGGCTGTTCTCAGTAGTGACAGATGGTAGAACAAGGAGCAATGGTCTCAAGTTGTGGTGGGAGAGGGCCAGGTTGGGTATTAGGAAAAACTATTTCACTAGGAGGGCAGTAAAGCACTGGAATGGGTTACCTAGGGAAGTAGTGGAGTCTCCATCCCTAGCGGTGTTTAAGTCTCGGCTTGACAAAGCCCTGGCTGGGTTGATTTAGTTGGGATTGGTCCAGCCTAGAGCAGGGGGCTGGACTTGATGGCCTTCTGAGGTCTCTTCCAGCTCTATGGTTCTATGATTCTATGAAATTGGTGGCTATGGATTGAGCTCCTTGAAGCTATCAAATAAGGCACATTTCAAGCTACAGGACATAGAATTGGTCCCATTGTGCTAGGCATTTTACCAACCCAGAGCACAAAGACCATCCCTGCTCCAAAGATTTGACAATTTCAATATAACCCAAGAGACAACAGATGAATGCAGACAGACAAGAGCACCAGAAACAGTTGCCTCATCTGATAAGCATTGATCTCAGCACACAAGCTGGGCATGTCTTCACTACCCGCTGGATTGTATGCTAGATATGATAAATCGACTGCTGAGCACTCTCCTGTCGACTCCAGTACTCCACCAGAGTGAGAAGCATAGGTGGAGTCCATGGGAGAGCATCAGCTGTTGACATATCATAGTGAAGACACCTCAGTGAGTAAATATAATCATATAAATATGTCGACTTAGCTATGTTATGCACGTAGCCGAAATTGTGTAACTTAGAAAAATTGCTCGCAGTAGTACAGACTAATTCTTGATTTTTTTTTGTAGGCATCACATCAAAGGAGAGTTAAAGGAAGGATTTGAAGGAGGCTAGTGAGGTGAATTTACAACTTTGCAAGTATGTTGTAGAACTCTTTCATTTTTGTGCTCAGTTTTCCCAAATGAACAAACCATGCCACAATCCTTTACTATTCTAAGGAGTGGTTTGTCTTCTGAAAGGTGACTATGTAAATGTAATTGTGGAGGTTCCATGACTGCCTTGCAAATGTGTTCAGTTTACAAGGTTTCTTTTTTCTAACTGGCAGCCCGCCCCCCCACAAACTCATCACTGCATTCCTTTCCTAATCAATGACTTCTAAACATAAATAAGGGGAATACCTCTCTCCTCAGCATTTCAGAACATTGACTTACACATGAGAACTGTGCAAAGTAGTTACTGACCTCTCTTGTCTTTCTTGATCATTTCCAACTCTGTCAATAGCCAATATGTCCCAGATCATAATGACAGGCAGTTATTGTATGATTACATTAGCAAGAAAATGAAGATTTATTAATATCCACAAACTTAGGGATGTCCTAGGGATATTTGATTGTCATAGGAAGAAATATGTGGCCTTAAAAGCTAATAAATATAAGCCTTTGTATTTGTCCATAATAAGGTTTCATAATAACTTCACCTGTGCTACAATTTAATGGTCAGAAGAAAAACACATTGGAAACAATTCATTGATTAATATAAATTGTACCTTGATTCCCTGCTTAAAAACAAATTTTATCATTTTTACAAGTCTTTATATTTTACTTTCACCCCTTGAGAACTTTTGTATAAGACGCTTTTACTGTGGAATAAATCCAGATTGACTTGCCTCTGAATCTAAGCCAGGTTGCAGAATTCCTACACCTGGCTTACCTCCAAGCCTCACAAAAGACCAATAAATCTGTGAATATTTCCCTTCTGATGCTTCAGAGGATATAGAGTTACTTCACAACTCCTCAAGCCTGGAGCACTGCTGAAGCTAAGCTCCAAATGGAGTTGCTGAATTGTGATGCAAAAAAGCAAATCCCTCTACAAATTTGCAGCAGGATGATTTATCAGACATGATAGTGATGTCTGAAAAACAATTCTCTCTGTCTTTTTAGGCTGTAAAAACTGTAGCAACTGTCATAAGGTTCCATTCATGTCAAGTTGTAAACTAAAGCATTTGACACAAAGTCATGGATAAAGACAATTTAGTCTCATCATTGTATAGCCAGTTGTTCCCTCCTTTTCCTGAAAAGGAATAAATTATGCAGCAGCCTAAATTTTATATAGTGTTATTGAAAAAAAGAGAAAAAATAATATTCACTGAATTGCTGTTTTACAGGAAGATGCATGTTACAGTAAGTTGCATCTTTGGCATATGTTTTATTGAGTATTCCATTTCTGCAGGCTTTTAAGTGGAATTTCACATGAGCATACAAACTCAGGCTAAGAGAAGCAGCAAACTAGCAGCTGCTGCCCATTTTTAAGTACCTTCATCTGTGAGAGCTAGTAAACTGTGAAAGAAAAGCACGGTATGGCTTGAATAACATCATTTGAATTTACTTTTAAGCAGGAAAAAAGAAAACCGTTGTCTTTGATAATTATTGCATTTGTAATCTCAGAAGAAATGGCCATTTGGGTATCAGAGTGGTTTGCGTATCAATTAAATAAAAGCAATGCAAGGTAAAATGTGAATGATCTTGCCCTGCTGTCTGATGCAAATTAAGATTCATTAGGGCCCTGGGTACAAAGAACATTTGGGCCCCTCCCATTTCTCTTTACCACAAGGCCCAATCCTCTGCTACTCCCCTTCCCCCTGGAATTCCAGCCCCCTGGTCAGGCCAGAAGCCAGGCAATGATAAGAGCTACCTTAGGAGCAGAGTCTACTTTGCAGAGCCCCGACCATCTTGAGCATCCTGGCCTCTTGCCCAGGGCAGGTGGAGGGTCCAGGCTCCCTGGGAGACCTTACAACAGCCTAGGAGGATCGTGTGTCCCATTTTGGCTGGGACAGGACACTTTTTAAGGCCTACCCAGGAAGTCCTGAATTTTTCTAGCAAAATTGGCCACTTGTACCAAGTTGCTCTTGCCTGGTGGGGATGTGCACAG